GAACTATGCTGAAAATTTCAAGTCTCTAACTTGTCGGGAAGTTAGTTTAAAATCGATTGGAAATTTCCACGATTTGCGCGGGATGACCAAGTTAAATAAAAGCTTATAAAAACGAAGTAATGCATACATGCACAGTTTCGGTTCAAAAACGAAATAATGCATATGACAAAAACCGAAGTAATGCATACATGCACAGTTTCGACTCAAAACCGAAGTAATGCATATGACAGAAACCGAAATAGTGCATACATGAAAACGAACTTCTTTCTGAGTAGGCGGCCTTCGGCCGCGCTTAGGGATTATAACCCTTACTAAGTAGAACTCTCCTTTCTGTGTTGCCGGAAAAGCAGGGCGGAAGTATTTTTGCGTAAAACTTTATTCTGCGTAGGCGGCCTTCGGCCGTGCTTAGGGATTATAACCCTTACTAAGTAGAATTCTCATTTCTGTGTTGCCGGAAAAGGGGGCCGGAAGTATTTTTGCGCAGAACTCCTTTCTGCGTAGGCGGCCTTCGGCCGCGCTTAGGGATTATAACCCTTACTAAGTAGAATTATCCTTTCTGTATTGCCGGAAAAGGAAACCGGAAGTATTTTTGCGCAGAACTTCTTTCTGCGTAGGCGGCCTTCGGCCGCGCTTAGGGATTATAACCCTTACTAAGTAGAATTCTCCCTTCTGTGTTGCCGGAAAAGGGGACCGGATTTATTTTTGCGCAGAACTTCTCTCTGCGTAGGCGGCTTTCAGCCGCGCTTAGGCATTAAAACCATTACTAAGTAGAAGTAAATAATTCATTCTAGAAAAAACGAAATTATCCATATGCACACTTTCGTTAGAAAACCGAAACAATGCATATAACAAACACCGAAATAATGCATGCATCCACAATTTCGGTTCAAAACCGAAATAATGCATAAGAAAAACCCGAAGTAATTTATACATGCACAGTTTCGGTTGAAAACCGAAATTATTCATATGCATACTTTCGTTTTAAAAGCGAAATAATGCATATGGCAAAAACCGAAATAAAGCATACATGCACAGTTTCGGTTGAAACCGAAATAATGTCTAAATGCACAGTTTCCATATGCGCAATTTCGGTGCCCCATATATATCTTATATACATATTTCGAAAAAACTAAAAAACGAAATTATGGCAATTTTTTTAATAAAAATGTGCGTTTTTCTAGAAAAAACTGTAATTAACTATATGCAAAAATACTATTTTTAAAAAGTGCATAAAATACCTTTAATTTGATGTATGCTATGTTGCAAAAATCATCTTGCGAAGGCGGCCTTTGGCCGCGCTTAGGGACTATAACCCTTACTACCCAGAATTTTCCTTTCTGTGTTGCCGAAGAAGCGGGGCTGAGCCCCTTTTGCGGAAAACACCTTTTGGCGTAGGCGGCCTTCGGCCGCACTTAAGAATTATAACCCTCACGAAGTAGAATTCTCCTTTCTGTGCTGCCGAAGAAGAGGGGCTGAACACCTTTTGCGGAGAAAATTTTTTTGCGTAGACGGCCTTCGGCCTCACTTAGGGATTATAACCTGTGCTGCCCAAGAAGAGAGGCTGAACACCTTTTGTGGAGAACGCTTCTCTGCGTAGGCGGCCTTCGGCCGCACTTAGGGTTTATAATCCCCACGAAGTAGAATTCTCTTTTCTGTGTTGCCGAAGAAGAGGGGCAGAACCCCTTTTGCAGAGAACATCTTTCTACCTAGGCGGCCCTCGGCCGCGCTTAGGGATTATAACCTTTACGAATTAGAATTCTCCCTTCTGTGTTGAAGAGTAAACACATCACTTAATATAGTTAATTATGCATTTTTTTAGAAAAAGGTACATTTTTATAAAAAAAATTGTTATAAAATCGTTTTTTAGTTTTTCTCGAATTATGTATATAAAATATATAAAGATATGCATATCATAAATATATAAAGATATGCATAAAAGGTCTATCAATTACCTTTCCAACCATATCCACATTTTTAAAATCGGCGCAATAGTTTTGGAAATATAAGCTTTTGAAAATATTGAAAGTTCCACCATGAAGTTTATGTATGTAGATATATACAGAAACAAACTTACTTATATCGCGCGCTTGCCTTTAGGTTTTAACCGACTTCCAAAAAAGTAGGCGGTTATCAGTTCGTCGGAATATTTTTTTTTTTTTGTTTTTTTATGTATGTTACCGCATAACTTTGGACCACGTCAACCGATTTCGATAACTCTTTTTGCATCGGAAAGGTAGTGTCTCAGAGGTGGTCCCATACTAATACTGGTTAAGATCCGATCAGTGGATCATGAGATATATATATATATAT